CTTCCATTTATTTATAAATTAGTTCTAATTCTAATATTTATTGTCAAAATTAAGAAAAATTATTAAAATCTAATTAAAAATTTAATTTTTTAATTTGTTCATGTTAAATATATCTTAAAAAATTTATATTTTAATACATCAATTTTGAATCAAGAAAAAATGTAATATAAATCAATGTAATGCTTTATGAAAAGAATTGTAAAAATGTTATTTCAAGCACATTATAAATAGAACGGATAGAGTATAAATACTTTGAATTTCATTAATGTGGCTGCAATTTTTTGCAATTACGTGACATCCTATAGCATATAATGATTTTTGATCAAAATATAACATATAATGACTGGCTAATTAAAATGGTGTAAGTATAAAAATAATTGAATATGAGACGGAGGAGAATGTTTGGATTAGATATAAGAAAATTAAAACTTTAGGAGTTGATAGGTTGGTTTTATTATTTTGGTGCATTTCCCAAGAAACTAGTACCTTCTTACTTTTCCTCCAAAAATTACTACAAAATTTTTTTAAAAAAATTGCATAAAGATTATATTGAGCAAACTTATTTATAAATAAATTTTATAAAATTTAAAAAAAGAAACTTGAGTTTAGTTTAAAATTAAAGTCAAAAGGCAATAACGCATTTGTTAGAAAACATTAATCAATCAAACAATTTATAATTATTTTATTAATAATTTATAATTGTATGTTTAACTTTTTATAATAATAATTTTACATATTTAATAATTAAATTGATAGTACATTATTAAAAAGTTCAACACTATTTATTTATAATTATTTTATTACTAATTTATAGGTATTATTTTAATTTTTTACAACTATAACTTTATATTTTTAATTGTTAAAATAATTATAAATTATTAGTAAAATTTAATACTAATTGTTTATAACTATTTCATCATTAATTTATAATTTTTACTCCAATTTTTTATAACTGTAATTTATATATTTAATAATTAAAAAGTTTGAATATTTTATATAAAAAGTTAAAGTTATAATTGTAAAAAATTAATATGATATTTGTAAATAATTTTTTGATTGATGTAATGTAATTTTAATAGGGACATTATTGTCTCTGTACTCTAGTTTTAAATTATATTTAGATCTCAAAGGATTTGGATATACTTTTTAAATTTTATAAAATTTATTTATAAATAAATATACTTAGTAGGACCTATATATTTTATCTTAGAGATAAACTTTATTCTGCCAAAAAAAATTGGGTGAATTTAATCTTGAAATACCATTAGGCTAGGAAATTGTCTAAAGACTCAAAGGATTAGAAGAGATGAGTGGTGTCATTATTAAATAAATCAATTTTTATTAGCATTTCAAAGAAAAAATTATCATATTTATATTTAGTCATATAACCTAACATTTTAATACGAGCTTTTATCCCCAAAAAATGAGGTTCAGTTTTATAATTAATTAATTGATTATGATTTTTCCACATGAAATGCTAGACATTAACAAGAATAAATTAACATGTGTGGGCCCCTCAAGCATTATTTTAAAATTCAATTTTTGAAGATATATATAAAAGAACATTATTTAAAAGAGAACCATCACTGAAATGGCATTCAAATTTTTTAAAAAATTTATCTCACAATTGCCAGCTGTAAAAACATCTAAACAAAAATTACCATCTGTATATTTTGTTATATTTCGTCATGAATGATGTATTGTGCGTTTGGCCAAAAATGAAAAGAAAAGAATAATGTACTGTGTAAATGTACTGTGAATCCTGAAAGCGAAGTTGTTGGGAAAAAACCGTGAAAGCAAAGCCGAAGTCGGTCAAAAGATACCTTTCTGGGAGCTTTGTGTGTTGCATCCATCTAAACCCACCAATTATATATTCCAAAATATATAACTCACAAATCGCAATTTTAGTTGGCCCAGAAAAAAACTTTTAACATTATTTTGAAAAATTCATAAAGTAAAAAGCTCTTTACCTTGAATCATAAACTATAAACGCAATTTCTTGGTCATACAATTTAATCTGCTGTCTCTAAACCCTTCAAGATAATTTATAAATTTAAAGTGATTTTGTGTAAATAATCTGATTTTTTTTTCATATATGTAAATAGGTGTTATATTAAATTAAGGACAAGTTTTAGAATGCAGTATTAAAAATATAAATAATTAAATAGACAATTGATGAGTGATAAAGATGATTAGACGCAGTGTGGCCCCTTACGTGGAATTCTAGAGTCTAAACAAGTGGTCTCTCGTGGGTTCCTTTTCAAATTGGAATTCTGAGATGCCCTTCATTTGACGATTCAAAATACCCAGTTATTATTAAAAATTAAATTCAGGAACAAGAAATATCATAAAATAAAAGCAACTTCATCATGTTTTTATAATATTTAAAGCCACTATAACTAATAATGGAAAAGCAGACGCTGAACGGAATAATGATAAAAATAAGAATAAATATGAGTCATTGTCGTAGGAGAAGGTGAGGCATCCAACTTTATCATGTTAGATATATAAACTAATGCTACATTTATTCAAACAAATCATGATGCTCCTTTGAAAAAAATAAATAAATAAATTATAGTATATCATTCAGATTTTTCTTTTTTGTTCGTACAATGTGGGACCCAGTGTTGACGTTCTTGCTTAGATAAACATGACGATTAAACCATTATTGCAAACTTTTGCACTCTTCACATTTTACCCTTGCCCGTTTCTTTCTTTTTAGAACATTCCCTGCTATCCAGGACAATTATTATCAAAACTAACTTCATATATCTCCTGAAAATACCTTTAATATATTTATTGACTAAAATATATTTTTAATTTTATATAAAATTTTAATTTAATTCTTTAATTTTATAAAATATCTTTTTAATCATTTAACTTTAATATTATGAATTTTAAATGATTATTTTTTATATCAATTATTGTTATTTTAAAAAAAATTAAACTTAATATGTCAATATTTAAGAATGTATTATTATATTTGAAATTTTAATATAAAAATTTATTAAGATAAAACTAACAATATTAAAGTTAAAGAATTAAAAACAAAACTTTATAAAGTTAAATGACTAAAATAAAATATTGTATAAAATTAAAGGATTAAGTATATATTTTAATCATATTTATTTAAGGCGACTATATATTCTAACACTTAAACTTAAGATTTTAAAATAAATTAATTCAATTTTTTTGACCATTGCAATCAAGTAGCCCTTGGTTAACCTCCTCCTCCAATGTTCAGGATTACATAAAGATTTCAACAAATAGATGACAATAGGTGAGATTTAATTTATTTGAATTTATATAATTTTTTTATATTTATCTTTATTTAATAGGTTGTCTTTATTAAAAAAACTAAGTTAATTACATATCTCAATTGATGATATTTTTGAAAAAAATCTCATCCACTACGCATGAAAGACTCAAAAACACCTTATATTTTTAACATCTTATTTTAAAAAAATATTTTATACTTTTAAATAGAAAGAAGATAACTTTATCAAGTATGTCACTGTAATTAAGGACGAAAAAAATGTATATTCCTAAGTAGAAGGTTAGTTAGCTCCACACAGTTGTTGAAAATTCTAATATTATGAATACCCCAACTTCCAACACCAGTGAAGATCATGCAAAATAACATTTGTTATTTAAAATTTCATCAACTCTAATGTTCTCGTCTTCATTGTGTTCTTATTGTGGATACCTTTATCACTCTTATTTTTTCGTCTCATCAATCATCTCTTATTGTTGTTTCTCCTTAATTTAAAAATAAACATAAACTCATTATTTTTAATATTTTCTTTTTGCTTCAAATCTCATTTTGTTGCTGTTCTTTCTTTAATATTTTTTAATATTATCCAATCAAAATATTTTAAATTTATGAAATATAAATATAACATTTTAAATTTCAAATCTAAATTCATCAATCTAAATATTACCCAAAGATGTATTTTACTTTTACATGTATAACCTCCTCCTCCTCTCGTCTTCACCATTGTACAAGGTTCCAACTAATTTGTATATATAATTTTGAAATCTAATTTTGAATATGACATCTTGAATCTCAAATCTCTTAAAAATGTATTGTGAAATAAGAGTTATTATAGAGTATTTAATTATTTAAGCTAAAACCAACACCTGATTATTAATTTCTCGTTCAGTTATATTACTTTTTAATTTTTGGATCACAAATATATTCAATAATATCCTAATCTTACAATTGCATTTTACGTAACAGCTGATCACCCTTTGAGTCTATTATTATTCATTCAATAATAATATTTTAATCTTAACTATATTTTCGTGCGTGGAATCCCTTCTTTGTTTCCATTTGACTTTTCATTTCACACTTCATTGTAGCTTAAGATCCAAGCGACCAAGCACCTTCCCATTTTCAAATGTGAAATCTACAACTTAAAAAAAAAAAAACAAAAATACGACAGAATTAGGTTATATGAGATTCGTTTTTATTGACTTATAATATTTAAACTATTTTTTATTTTTGATGACAGCTAATGATTTTTTAATTATATACTCCTTAAATATCTTGCATAAATATTATAATAATGACAATCAAAATTTTAATACATTATTTTTAAAAAAATAATAAATAAATTAGGGATATTGTTAAAAAATATTTACAAAAATATCTAATACTTTATATTATAAATAAAAAATATTTTAAAAAAATCATCTCATATTATGACGTGGTCCTACATGATGATTCGAGATTTTATCATCGACATGATCATGTAGAAATGATCCTTAAAAAAAGTGTTGACATGAAAAGAAAAAGATTTGTGCGAGTCAAGGCCAGTGAAAAAATTTTAAACTTGAATCAACGTGTTCTATACTTTTATTTTATTCATTAAAATGAAATTGATGCCAAAATTAATTGGAGGGGCATTATTGTAAAACCATAAGCACATGAGCCAACCACGACGGACCCGGCCTGAAAGGAAATATGGCCATTACGCGGTTGTTGTGTCTGCATAGACGAAGCCAAAAAGGACTGCTTCTTTCTCTGCTTTTTTCCTTTGTTCCCTGTCCACGAAGGCACCGATTCTTCTTCGGCTCTTCAATAAATTTAATTTCTTTCCTATCAGGAACCCACTTTTTTCCGCTTGCTTTCTCTCTGACTTCTACGAAACCAAAATAAAGTTGGCTACTTTCTCTGGTATTTCCTCTGTAGCATCAATAGAAGAAGCTCAAGCAGCTGGAGAGTGGGAGAATTCTGGCAGAGATTAATGGGTAACTGCCTTGATTCTTCTGCCAAAGTAGATACGGCTCATAGCTCCCGAACTTCTGGTAACCAATCCAATTCTTTCTTCATCACTTCCTCTAGGTTAGCCTCTTACAATTTTACAGGACGCGTGGTTCTGCTCATTTCGGCTTATCAGTATTGATTTTAGCAGTTTTCTGGGATTCGGATTTTCAATGGGCTGATGTTATGTTGAGCTTCGTGTTTTCTTGATTTCGCACTTTTTGAGTGCAAGGCTGCTTTGGATTTTGGGATTGAATCTTCGAGCTCATTTTTCCCAGATTCATTTTTCTTAACGATGGTGCTGAATTTTCTGGGCCTGTGTATAGTCCTTGGGGTTTTAGATTTGTAAACTTCAGCTTTGGGTTCTTAAAAGCGTTATAATTCTTCAAAAATATCCTCTTCCATGTTTTGATGATCATGGGTCTTGTCTTTCATCCCTTCGTGGGTTGTAAAAAAATCTTATTTAATAATTTATCATAAATTTCTAGTTCTCTGACATGGCTTTTTTCAGAAATAAAGCTGGTAACAGGGTTTGATGCTGTTGTTTTCCGAGCAAGTTCTTTGGGCTTTGGGAGATTAACTTTAGTCTCTTCATGTTTATTGTCTCGGAGGATGATTGATGTGCGAATTCTTCCTCTTTTAAATTTAGCTCTACATCTTAAAGTTTGATGCATGTTGGTATTTCCTTATTGGCACAATCTTCTAATGCTTAAGTTATGAAGCATATTAGTACTTACCTACATGGGTTATAGTGTGTGGTTGGTTGACTTTGAAAGGTCTTCTGGAACTGTGCCTTGGCATTATGCATGTACTAACTATTTTTCTTTTTCTTCTGTCAGGATCTGGAATTTCAAAAACTAGTCCTTCATCAGCACCTTCCACCTTATCACTTCCATCATGCAGTGAAAAAAGTAATGCCTCAAGTCTTCCCACACCAAGGTCCGAGGGCGAAATCTTGTCTTCTCCAAATCTAAGGCCCTTTACATTCAATGACCTAAAGAATGCCACCAGAAATTTTCGTCCTGATAGTCTTCTTGGCGAAGGGGGATTTGGCTATGTTTATAAGGGATGGATTGATGAAAACACATTTCAGGCTGCAAGACCTGGATCAGGGATGGTTGTTGCTGTGAAAAGGCTAAAACCTGAAGGCAGCTTTCAAGGTCATAAGGAGTGGTTGGTATGTTTCTGCTTTCACACTTTTTTATCCCACACCCTTTCTTGCCTTCTATATGTTTTTGTTTGTTTTTGGTCATACGAATGGTCTGATTACTGAAAACTTGTGAATTTTCAGACTGAAGTTAACTACCTCGGGCAGCTCCACCATGTAAATCTGGTTAAATTAATTGGGTACTGCTTGGAGGGAGAGAACCGGCTTTTGGTCTATGAGTTTATGCCCAAAGGGAGCTTAGAAAATCATCTATTTAGAAGTAAGTTAGGGAAGCCATGGCGCTGTTGTTTTATGATTTGTATCTCTTCAGTTATTCGTCATTTCTCACCAAATAGGGTCAGGAAAATTAAGACATTAGCAATTTTACGTGTTCGTAAATGATTTTGTATGTTCCTAACTATTTTATGGTGACATTCACCTGTCAGTTCAATGATAGCAGATAGGTTAAAAATCAATTTTCATTTGCTCATTGCGCTTGGAATTGTAGAAATTAGCATATTTGGACTTATGAGTTCATTATGTTTGACAGGAGGGCCTCAGCCACTCTCTTGGTCAGTGAGGATGAAAGTGGCCATTGGGGCTGCCAGAGGGCTCTCTTTTCTCCATAATGCCAAATCACAAGTCATATACCGTGATTTTAAAGCTTCCAACATCCTACTGGATGCGGTATGTTCAATGAATGAGGATATAATTATAACTTATTTTTTATTAGATTATGTGAACTGATCACTTGTCATGCAATGGGATTGCAGGACTTCAATGCTAAACTCTCTGATTTTGGCCTGGCTAAGGCAGGCCCTACTGGCGATAAAACGCATGTGTCTACTCAAGTTATGGGTACTCATGGATATGCAGCTCCTGAATATGTTGCTACAGGTCTGGTTTAACTTCACATAAAACATTATTCATGCATTAAATTAGTGGTGGTCCTCAATTTTATGTTCATCATTTTTGCTCTGTTGTTAAACATCATACTGAAGGCCTAATTAATTGGCAGGTCGGTTGACAGCCAAAAGTGATGTCTATAGTTTTGGGGTTGTGTTGCTTGAACTTCTATCTGGACGGCGTGCAGTTGATAAATCAAAAGCTGGTGTGGAGCTGAATCTAGTAGACTGGGCAAAACCATATCTGGGTGACAAACGAAAACTTTTTCGGATCATGGACACTAAATTGGAGGGCCAATACCCTCAAAAAGGAGCCTACACGGCTGCAAATCTTGCTCTACAATGCCTGAATAGTGAAGCAAAGGCAAGGCCTCCGATGACAGATGTTTTAGCAACACTTGAACAGATTGAAGCCCCCAAGAATGCAGGCCGACACTCCCACTCAGAGCCACTGAGAGCTAATGTTCCTGTAAGGGGCTCTCCTGCACGAACCAGGTCCCCACTACATCTGACTCCAACTGCATCTCCATTGTCATCTCACCGGCAATCTGCTCGTGTACACTGAAATACAAACATCTTGTGTAAATTCCTTATTCTGTTATTATCAGAATGTGTTTTCTATAGGATTTGGTGAGATTTGTACTTTGAGCAAATTTTGAGCTATATGATCATGAGTATTGGTACAATCCACAAGCCGTGTAAGTATAATTTTACCGAAGTTCCTTTATCCTTTTTCCTATTGCTCGTACATATTTGCAGATAGTGGGAAGAAGTGTACTCAAAACAAGTTGGAAGAAGCTTTAACTGTTGGCCTTTGCATGCTTAAATCGTTGAAGAGCTGAAATAATAAACAGAACTTGGGGTTTTAACAGTGAGAATAAGAATGAGTGCTGGTTCTTCTACTATACAATCTCTTGTGATGCAATCCAAGGTTTAGCTCTATCTGTTCCAAGGCACCCACAACTTCAGCCATTGTTGGGCGATGCTTGGGGTTTAAGCAGAGGCAGTTTAGTATTAGTTGAGCCAACTCATAGGCACCTTCCATCGGAAAATTTTGTCCTAGTCTCTTGTCTATAACGCGGTGAAGTTCCAATTTGTTACTTAAAAATGGTTCAGCCCACCGGGCAAGATTACCCACCACCCCATCTGAATGTTTCCTAACTGCACCAGAGCCAGATAATATCTCTAGCAGAACCACTCCAAAGCTATATACATCAGCCTGTAGAGTTAAATGACCTGAAAAATAACAAAAATATGCCTTAAGAAGCAAGCGTGCTTGTGCTTTTGCTTATGAACTGAGTATACCTGAGTATCTGATGAAGTTTCTGCATGACCCTTGTTTTCCATGATCGAGGATGTGTCAGTTACCTGTGGCCACATACTCGGGGGCAAAATAGCCTCTAGTGCCAAGGATTCTTGTGGATACATGGGACCGGTCATCTTCAGGTCCATCTCTAGCCAGTCCGAAGTCAGAGCTTTGTATTGAAGTTCTGCAATATCATTCTTACCCAGTCGATAATATAAAGATGAACACCTTTTATTCATCATTATACTAAAAAAACGAAAGGTTGATATCTGAAGAGGTAGAGTAAGCATCAATTTTAGCGGCTCACAGCATCTAGCAGGATATTGGAAGATTTAATATCTCGGTGAATTACTGGTGTTTCATAGGTGTGAAGATAGTCTAAACCCCTTGCTGCTCCAAGTGCTATATTAATTCTTCTATTCCAGTTTAGCGTTCGTCTGACTTCTGCACACGCCAAGACACAACACAATAGTATAACGAACATGCTTGATGCTCAATTCTTCATCATGCCTCTTGGATCTTAATTAAGTCTCAAAGTGCTTACCTTTCGTGAGATGGTCCTCCAAGCTTCCTTCAACCATGTACTCAATCACAAGCATTCTATGCTGACCCTCACGGCAATACCCTATGAGATTCACCACGTTCGGATGGCTAATTTTGCTCAAATGTATCACTTCATTCTGCAGGCACAAAAAGTATTCAGATACAGACAGACAAGTACACATTTTCTTCTTCTGCAAACCCAAACACCCGCACAAAGATGCAGTTTTTTGGTTGTGTAGACTCAGTCAATCACGTGTGAAAAAAAAAAAAAAAACAATATGATAGACCCCCCATGAATCATCATGTGAAAGCAAAAAGCATTGATTTATTGGTCTATAATCTATACAGACGAAACAAGACCAGCCATTCTTCGTGTCCTCGTGCTCCATGCCTTCTTATTCTCTTGACAGCTATGGTGAATCCTTCATTTGGTTTTGCAGCATTCATGGTGTGGTGCGAGAGATATCCCTTATAAACATCAGCAAAACCTCCCCTGCCGATCAAGTTCTTAGTGCTGAACCTGCGCGTGGCAACTTCCAAGACTACATAGGAAAACTTTTTTAGCTTACGAGTTTGGAACCTTATACCCTTGTCTGCTTTCAGAGCATGCAAATCCCTACTATCAGCTATATATTTCTTCTTTTCATCCCTGTTCCTCCTTCCTGACACACAAATCATTCGAATGACTGACAGAAATGGAACGAAAGAGAAGATTACAAATTTGAACGTCTTGTAATAATTTGTACCTCTTTGATTCTTTGAAACAACAAAAAGATTCCTCTGTTCATTGAGAATCCATGGTCTTCCCACGTGGGCATGTCTTCCAGCGCCTGAAAAAGATACAGTAAACGAGTTAAATAACAGCACATCTGAGGAAACCAGAGAAAGTCAGTTTAATTAGTATTAGTGGGCTATATTGTGAGGACTTTTTCTTGAGGAACTTGAGCATGAAATGCAGCAATACCCATAGGATGATGAACTATATTATTGAGGGGCTGGTTGGGATCCAGAGAATTTCTGCTCAAACAAACTCCCATTATTCCTTTTGAGAGCTAAGCTCCCATACACACACGAAAAGAAGAAAGATCCAAATAAGGTTATTTCAACTTGAAATCCAGAGAGGCTGGAAAAATAATAATTTGGCTGCCTAGTTGAACCTGGTATGGTGAAGTGGACTATGTTAAAACTGCTTGTGGGGTCTTGTACTGATGTGAATACAAAAATGGTAACTTTTTCACCGATGATAACGAAGTGACATCATTTGGATGGTTATGTTAAATTGATTGATTGAAAGAGGTTTAAAAATCTCACCATCCAATGTGCCACGGTTGAAAGAGAATGTTTGGTCGCCACTTCGCATTCTGACTTGGCCCATTTCATTGGGGGAATTAAGAATAAGATAGCAGACTTGTAATCACCTTTTTATTGAACATCGTACTTTATTATCATACATGCAAAAATAAATAAATAAATAAACCTACTGATTTATCGAGGTCTCTTGAATGGAATTTGTGGGCTCTTTTCTTTTGTTGAGGTCGTCGAGGCATTAAAGCCATGATTCCCAAGTGTGGCAACAGTGGTTGACATTTAATTATTTTCTCAATTAATCACTTTAAACACACTCTAGGGAACACCAAAATGGTTCACGTTGTAAGAGGAGATACCCATTATTGTGAAACATGGTTGCTTTGGTCTACACTTATTTTTTTTTTATATGACAATTTGACTTGGTCAGATTCAACTATTGTAGAGTTCAATGAAGGTAACTCTCTCAAACAATGTTCATAAAGAGAATAATATGTGTGCTATTTGGATTGCGAAATTCGATCTTGGTTATAACTTTAATTGTAGTATTATTGAGGTTTCTCCTAGAGGACATATCCAATTGTTATATCGAGATGTAAAGGATTTTTTATTTTATTATTATATAAATAAAGGTCATTGTCTTTTGCCCCGTTGTTAACTTTTTTTTTTTGAAAAAATTAATCTTTCAGTCTTTCAACTTTTAAATTATTTATAAGTTGTAACTCAGTCCCTCAATTATAACTCACTGTGACTTAGTCTCTTAATTATGACTTGCCTATGACTCAGTCCCTCAAATTTTGAATAACTTACAAATTAGTCCCTCAATTTTTGTTAATTTTTTTTTCATGTTAGCTTATATCTCACATCAATGAACAAGAGAAAGGTATTTTAAAATAATATATGAGCATTTTTTATCTCTATTATTTGATAAGAAATTTTTTTAAAAAAAGTTAAAAAAATAAAGACCGAGTTATAGGTAAATCAAAAGTTGAGGGATTGAATCGCAGTAAGTTATAGTTAGGGGACTGAGTCATAGCGAGTCATAGTTGAGGAATTAAATTACAAGTGAGTTAAAAATTAAATGATTAAAAAATTAATTTTTTCTTTTTTTTTTAAAAAAAAACACTCAGACGTTTTTTTTTTTGCTCATAAACTCAAATTTAAGAGTTTATATTTAAATAGCAATAACCTTTTCCACTAGTACACATCCACTAGTACATCAACGTCTATTGGTTCTTTTTGTTTTATTTTTAATCTCCTTTTGTAAATTATTTTTCATAAATATATGTCTATATATATAGGCAAAAAATACGTCTTCTGTCTCTTGGCTTACTGTGAGAATTAGTTATTTTAATATATTCTATCATTTTATTTGTGTAAATTTTGTCGTATTATACCATTTTAAAAGGTTTTATATATACTAGTGACTAATAACATGCAAATGAGTGAAAAAAAAATGTCGATGTGAAGTGATGATCATGTCATATAACGGTCCGCGCATGTGGATGTGGCATCTACATATGTCACCCAACAAAGTGGGTTCCACCAGTTCGCCTTCTTCCTTTCTTTATTTATTTATTTATTTTTTTTTTTTTATGTAATCGCCTTCTTTCTTTTTTATGCTGTCCTTCTCTTGAGTTCAAGTCCTCGTCATCAACTAAATTCTTAAATATAGTATTGTGAGAAAATGACGAAAATAAAAAATTAAAATAAATAATGAAATAGATTTCGCATACTCTAATTTTTTGTCACCTTTTTTATGAATCTATTACTTCGTCAAAAATAAATAAAAAATATCAATTACATAATTAACCCATCATTGAAATAATATCGTTAGTAAAAACATTAAATACAATATCAGCTCTTTGCCTTACGAGTTTCGAAAATAACTCACCAAAATTCAGGGGAAAAAAACCCTCACAAAAAAAAGAAAAAATAACAGTAAATCCCAAAATAGTAAATTAATATCAGTTAAGTCCTGAATTTTTTTTAAAAAAATAAATTAAAAATATCAATTCAAATTATTATAAATTCAAAAATTTTAATTACAAATAAGTATTTAAATATTAAATATAACTTTTAGATTGTAACAAAAATTTGTATTTGTAATTGTTTGAATTGATATTTATAATTCATTTTATAAATTTTTTTTGAAGATTTAACTATCATTAATTCATTTATTTGGGACCTAACTGTTATTCTCCCAAAAGAATGAGGGTGTGTTTAGTTTTCTATTGGGCAAAAGTCAATTTATCAAATGTTCATTTGACAAAAGTTAATTGTAATAAAATGTATATTTGAATACATTATTTCAAAAGTTAATTTAAAAAATTAAAAATTATTTGGATTAATGATGATTTATGCTTTTGAATATATAAAGATAAAAAAGAACATTGATTTCAATTACAAAATTAGGTATATATTTATTTCCCTTATTAAATACTCCCAACCTTCATCCATGTTTGAAATCTAACTTGGAGTAACTTTTGAAAATTCACTTCCAAACCACATTAGGAAGTTCAAAAGTACATTTTCCTACTCATGCAGTATCCAAACAGTCTTGTATATCTCAAATGTTAGAATGTGCTTTCCAAACATTAGATGTGGTTTACCCAAACAGAAAGTAAGATTATGTCTGACAGAATTATGCACACAAAGATTGTCTCACAGTATATGGTTAAAGAGTGTAAATGTTTTGAAGTTTTTTGTGAATCATAGGAGTCTCATCCCAAATACTAATTAACTTTATTTATTTTATACATTATTAATAATAAAGCATCTAATGCTATATGCATTACATGTTGCATCTTCTGCTATATATAAGGATTAATGAATTGTTCTTCCTTTCATCAAAAGGATATATAGCTACTACACACACTTGATTTGATCTTGAAGCAACATTCAAGACAAACTCACCTTTTTAATTGTAAAGTTAAGGTTGAAATTAAGGCATTGAAAAATAGAGCAGTGATTATTAAATCAGTTAAGACATTAGTTTAAGGGTTAATGATCAAAATTATAATTGAACCATGATCAAACTAATTTATCAATAAATTATAGTATTTTTTAAAATTAATTAAGACACTAGTTTAATGAAATTGATTCAATTGAGTGGTTGATTCGGAATTTCATACTATGGTTAAAAGTCATTCCTAGCTCATTCACATATCTTACCTATACTTATAATTTATTTCTTCTATCATAAAAAGGAAAGGGAAAAAATAGGTCTTCAAATAAGCTCTTTGCATTTATATTGCATACTCTCTCTCACACTCACACACACACACACAAATATAGTCGCAATTCCACTACTTCTACAAGTAATATTTCTGATTATTGGCGTGGAATAGTAATAATCATGTTGCATACATGCGAATCAAGATGGCAAGAAACAATAGGAGAGAAGAAAATGTGTAGATCAGCAAAGAAGTAGGTTTTAATTACCTAAAGCTTTTAAGTTTCCTTAGAACAAAACATATTGTTCACATGATTATTGACTTTTTGAGCACAAACAAGTTTTGGTGCATGCATTAAAAATAATGCCGAAATCTATAGATATTTAATTTTGATGAGAAGTTCTTTATCTGTAAATGCTACAAAGAAGATTTTTTTTAAAAGGAATGTAAATCAATTGAACTAGCTAGTTTAATTTATACAGCTTGTGTGTATTTATGTTCCATAAAAAATTAATATCAATACTAATTAGTACCTACCAAACAAATTTATGAGGAAATGAGGCTAATAACCTTTGGAAGGGATGATGGATTATAGATATTAGCAATCTCTATTTCATCTTTATATCAAGTGGCATCAAGAGTTCCCCCAAACAAACTTCAGTAAGGCAAGAAGCTTGAGCCCACAGTGAAGTGTTTGTGAGGAACTCTAGGGTTCACCTGATTTTCTTAGGGTTTCCAAGTCTTCTTGGTAAGGAACCATACACCAACATATCGTATTTACACAGTTCTGATACATATGTGATATTTATATGCTCGAATGTTTGAGCACGAAGAAAAGCATCTCCATAGAGCAGAAAGTCATCAGGCGTACAAGTCATGAACCTGGACACATGTTTAGTCTATATGATGGATGCCACACCAACATAAGAATCTTAGTGAGTCAGAGTTCATTTTTCTTTCAATCTGTCCATTTTTCTAGCCAGCACAGATTTCTTCTGATTTCCAGATTCTGGCATGTCAAACTGTGGTCACCAACAGAGTACCTATTCTCTGCAAATTGTTGAAGACTAATAATTAAGTCACTTGCATCAGGCTTTTGAAAAATATTACTACTCTATGTATGACTAATTCTTTATGCATCAGTCATGATCAGTTGACTGACTTCAACGTTTATAAAGAGCTCAATGGAATAGTGGAGGGTAAAAATTTGATTCTGATGTGAAGATGATAAGCTCAAAGCAGCTATCTAGGGTTGCAGATAAGAAGGAAAAGTATTGACGCCGTCCTACTCCAATAATGAAATATAATATTCTGTTGCTATCAATCTTCCCACAATCATGACCAGATTCAAGTATACACGAGCAGATAAAAGAAACTGATAATAAAGTGGAAGTTACACGCGTGAACTTTTGAAGCTCTTGAACTGCTGGTCCAAAACATAGCTAGTTTCACGTGGAAGATGGAGGCAGATTGGTATAAATATGGTGTTTTGCTTCATAGCAGACAGATCAGAGCACAGAAGATGAGAGTGATGATTCATGAGATATGATGAAGTC